ATATTTATATTTATATTTTCAATATAAAATAATTTAATAAATGCAATCTTGGCATAAAATAGAAAATTCTGTCATAAATTTATAAAATCCAAACATTCGGCATCTTCATGTGCTTAAAAAAAAAAAAAAAGGCATCTTTATGTTTGCCAATAAAGAATTTTCAAATTTTGTTCCCTAAGGTAACTTCAAACATCCACAAAATAGGATTCGGGCTTTTTCCTGTTGTGTGGTATAAAATGATGATAAAATGATAATTTTATTGTTCAGAGGTCAGCATTCATCAATATGCAAATCATAATAACTGTAGAAACCTCTTCAGTTTGATCTTTCATGGAAATCAAGTCCTTACATTTTTTGCAGAGGAAATTAAATTAAAGAAGAAAACAAAAAAAAAGGTTCTGTTTTTATTATTATTCTACTATTTTCTGATCCCGTATCAAGTGCGGGTCTGAATTAGTCAGAACGAAGTTTCGGATACCGAACGAGAAAAAAAAAAAAAAAAAAAACACCTTGGACTCTTACTCTTACACGAAAAGGTTCAAAACCTTCCTTTCATGCCCACTGCTTTCGCCGCTTTCCATAGTGGTTATCTCCGAAGAATCCTCAGTGTACAACGACACCGCACTCCCGCTCCACCTTTCCGCTTCGTAACTCCTCACTCCGCCGCCGCGTCTACCTCCTCCGGATTCGGGCGTCAAGGACAGGCTCAGGTCAAAGGGTGTTGGTGCCGCTTGATTCTCCTTAAACATTATTAACGATCTTGACTGCGGGTACAGGGTTTGTAATGTGTATGCGTCCGCACGGAATCTATCAGAGGACGACGACTCATCGCTCCTCGGCGTCCAAACACCGGCTAGAATAGCAGCGATCGGCTGCAAAGAGCCTCCAGAAAGTACCGTCTCCACCGCGGCCTGGCACACGTGCCAGTTCCCGCTCGACAACAAGCCCACCGCTCCGTTCACTGGATTCACCGTACGCCCGCACGCTTCAAATAACAACGATTGACACAAAGCTATATTCAACCCAAAAATAAAAAATAAAAAATTACTATATAAAATATTTTAAAATAAAAAAACAGGTTAAAATAAAAAATAAAAAAAAAACTCATACCGGGTCGTTGAGATTCCGGGACGGAGGAGATGAATGAGATTAGATCACTCCGGCCAAAAAACTTGGCGAGAAACAAGGTGGCGTTGCCTTGGGCTTCCGGAGATTCGATCCACAGCAAGGACGACCGCAGTACGCACTTCTCGCTGCAGCCCTTCCGGAGTACTCTGCACCCGTTGCAGCTCATCTCGAATCTCCAAGTTCAATCACCGTCCGATATTCTCAAATTCCGGCTACTGTAGACTGGATATTACTTGATTTAGAGTATGAGTTTCAGGCTGAGAGACTGAAAATGGGGACGCGACGCGAATGCGAGGAGGAGGGAAGTGAAGTGGTGGTGTATAAAATGAGGAGAGGAAAGGGAACTGTGTGTTGAGTTAAAAAGTAACCATGGTTAGGTTAAAAGGGGGGTGTTGAAATTTGACGGTGGGGTAACCGAGGGGAATATCTTTCCGAACTCTGGGCACGAGCGATTCCAAGTTTCCGCTTCCCGTTGCTCTTACGTTTCTTGTGTACCGTTGGATTCCCTCTTCTTGATTGAAGTCGATGGTTGGATCTACGTCCACCGTCCATTTCTCTTTCTTGCTGTACTTGCATGTCCTTATGCGGTAATTTTCTACTAAATTAAATCATTTACTACATTATTAGGATTAGCATTTAGATATAATTAATAATTGATAATTGAAATCTAATTATTGATAATTGATATTATTTATAATTTAAAACATTTAATTTATTTAATTAGAGTAAATAGTTGATAATTATTTATAAGATTTTCTAACCTATACTTTTAATATATAGGTTAAGAGTACTTTTTTTTTATTAAATGGATATAAAAAAATCTAAAAATTGATATTAATTTTAATGTCAAGTAAATTTAATTAAATAATTGATAAATTAAATATTAATTTTTATTTTTTAATATGAACTTATGACAAAAAAATATATTTGATACTTTCTTAACTTATATTTTAGACAAACCCTTATTTATAAATGTTTAAACCAAACACCCTCTTATGATTTTTATAAGAAATTCATATTAAAAAATTAAAAAATAAAATTATGACAACTAAAATTAAAAATAGGGATTAGATATTTAATACTTTGACAATATTATAATTATAATATCACGTAAATTTATAAATTTATAATTATAATTTATTATAAAATAAATAAATAAAATTAATATTATAAGTGAATTTCAAATGAAAAACATTTAAGTCACGTAATGATAAATCAAAATTGTAAATTTATAATATTACATGATATTATAACTATATCATTTAATTTTAAAAAATTTATAAACATTGGTACAATTTTGGGGAGATCAGCAATACCTAGAAATAACTACAATCACAGCATTACGTACTTAACAATCCCAACCGCACGCCTCCCTTGATTAAAATGAGTAGTATATATGTTAGTTTCTCTATCGCTTTCTTTTGCATAATTAATTAACGTAAGAGGTGATTAATTTTAGTGGGGAATCTAATGACGTGAGATTGCAATTGCTTGCAAAATGAAGAAACCCGAAACCGGCAATCCTTAATTGCCAGCTAACCTGCCGAGGAAAATGACAATAGTTTTTTTTTTTTTATTAACTTTTTCGATATCCAGTAATCACATTAGATCTTCATTAATTTAAAATCAAATTGCGTCGGATCTTATTAAAGAGAAGCTCTCCCATCGTTTTTATTCAAAAGATTTAAACTTAAAATTTTATTCGAAGAAATTGAATTTTTTCCATTCATATCAACAGATTGTTAATAAAATAATAACGAAAGTTAATAAGGAATATGGATGGATATAAATTCATCGATGGAAAAATAGTTCTTTTATTAGCTCATTCCAAGCTTTGCTTTGTATAGATCAAGCTGTCAAATCTGTCTCTCTTGTTTACATTTTGCCACTTAAATACTTACCTCCACTTTTAAAATTTGTGTTTCTTTTTGGGTCGAATGGTATATATTTTCTCTTTCAATTTTAAAGTTAAATACGAATATTAGATTAGATGAATGTAAAATCATAAAATATGTTAGTGAAATGAGTTGGAAAAAAAAATGGAGATGGTTATTTCTTAAGAGAAAAACGTTCATTTGTCTTATTTTAAAAAAATTAAGAAAAAAAATTATTTTAAAATTTTATCATTTTAATAAATTTTTATTTAAAAAAATAAGATATTTTAATTTTAAAGTATAAATTATATTGTTTTTAATTTTTATAATATTTTATTAAGATAATATAAATTAAAAATAATTTTTCCTGACTTAAAAAAAAAAAGTAAATAAACACAAACTCTATTTTTTAATTGTGCCAAAAAGAAAAAAAAAGGGGTAGAAAGAGGAAGACTCCAGCTCCTGCCGTCCTGATAGGGTTTGCCCAATTTTTTAATGGTCACCAGCTACAGCCAAGTCCATGAAAGAAAAGCAGGCTATTGACAATTTGGTCCCGAAGATAAAGCTATTTAAGGCCCACATTTTAATTTGTCTTGCCTTGTTTGATACGGGCATTTTAAAGTCTTGAATTAGCCCAAACTTTGTCAATGAGCCAATATAAACACCCCAAGACGGGCCGAACGATGTACAAGTAAATTGATTTCTTAAGCAATGCACAAATCCATTTATTTGAGACTCTGAGTGCATTGTGTTTTTTTTTTTATTCTTTTTTAACTATGGGGAATTTAGAGGAGAGAGATTTTATTTCAAATCTTGGTGAAAATCGAATTCTCTATTGACTACACCTAAGCATTTAAAGTTTAAGAGTATATTATATTTAAAACTTACGGACGTCCGAAAGTCCAGTTCGAGTACATCGTGTTTAAAACTGAAAATGTGAATTATGTGATTCTTTGAAGCTACAAATTACAAGGCTGTCTCATTTATTAAAAAAAAAAGAAAGAAAAAAAAAAAGGGGACAAACAGAAAGATATCACAGGTGGCAAAAACAAAACACGTGTAAAATTTGTCAGCATCCACCAACTCTCTCACAAAAACACATCTCTGTGGGGAGTGCAAAACTAATTAACCACGTGGAAGTCAAAGCTGGAACAAGTCCCCTAATTTCACTTGCATGACAAATGGCGGCGAGACACAAGGGAATCCTTCCAATTTACAAGTCAAAGGATAAGCATCAAATTTATTCGAAAAAAGAAGAAAAAAAAAATTAAAGGCGGATCCTGATCATCGTGTCCAGCCAAACCCATCTGTCAACTTAAAGTGTGTTCGGTAAAATTTAAAATTTTATTAAATTTAAGGGATATTTTGTAAACATTTTAAAATTATTTTTTAAAATAAATTTTAAGTAAGTTTTGTAAAAATTTATGTATAATTATTTAAAATCTATTTAAAGAAATTAATTTTATTATTTTTTAAATATAATTTTAAAATTTTAAAACAAAACACATTTTGAACTTTACCAAACAACATCTAATCACTTTCCACCCAGAACAGTGTGCGGAACAGAACCCAAGAGCTATCTTCTTATCCGCACAAAACATCCCCCATCCCCTTCTCCCGTCTGCCATCTCCATCCACGTCAGCGTCTCCAGAAATTGATTATTCAAGTAAACAGAAATAATTGCAATAACTATGCAAGTAAAGCAGCGAACGTGGACATAAACGCGTGATTCTCATGGCTGGCTCGGTGCTAGATGAACCGTCCCTTTCTTCTTTTAATTTCTCATACACGTGCAATTGGGCCAGAAGTGGCGGCCAATTATTAACTGAAAAAATCCCAATGGACTCTGCCACCAGATGCCACCGCACGCGGCAGCGTCACTCTTCTGCCCCGCCGCTCACGCGGTTCAGTTGTCCCCATCATGACTCCCACTCGGTGCGTGCTTGTCCCACGCTCCCCCATTCACACGGCGGCGCATCTCTTGCACTATTTGGAAGCAATTTTAAAAGACGTGTTCACAAATGGAGGTCCATTAAGTGATAATCTTGATTAATTAATTTAATTTCTAACATATCAAGTGGTATTGTTTTTCTAAAGTAAATTGTTGTGATGATGATAATTTAGACAAAATTTTCCGCTAATTTTAAGGAAATAAATGAATTTAATTAATTGGATTCAATACAGTTAATAGCAATTGAGAAGTTAATCAAGTGCTATATGTACACCAAATTCTCTCCGGCAGGAAGAAAAGAAACACAATGTATCTGAACTAAATTCTAATGGTAATTAAGATGGATAGCAGTTCCTAATTCAATGATCTTAATTGAGTTCGAGCTTTGTTGGAATCAGGACGCGGGCCTTCTTCGTCGGGTGGGGACTCTGGACCTCATCGTCATCGTAATAGATAGCCGGAAGGTTTAGGTCAAAGCCCCGCTGGCTGACTGTCTTCGTGGTGGTGGAGCCCACGCCTTCAGAGGAAGTGGTGCCGCTGTTTCCGGCGCCACCATCGTAGTGGCACCTCTTGTGGCCTCCCAAAGCCTGGCCGGTGGGGAAGCTCTTGTGACAGATGGAACACTTGTGTGCCCTTCCGCTTGCGGGTAACGCGCCTGCGACGGTGGTGATTGCGGAGGTGGTCGTGGAAATTGTTGACTGGTCGTCGCCGCCAGACAGCTTGCGGTGACTAGCCTTGTGACCGCCTAGAGCTTGGTAAGAACTAAACGACTTGCTGCAAACACTACACTTGTAACTCAATTTCAGATCCGGAACCGTCGTCGATATCGGTACTGGTGTAGGAGTGGGAGAGCGGTGGCGCTCTGGGGCACTACCAGCAGTAGCAGTACTTCCACGAGCAAGCATGATGAGACAAAGAGCGAGATACTCTTCCTCACTGGAAGCCTGATCAAATCCATGCTCAAGACGGGGTCGCTTGGAGCGCTTCCGCTTGGCCCAGGAATCCGCGCAGTGGAAATTAGCAGCATCCTCAAAAGGGAATGGTCTGCCGGCCGCAACTGGAGAGTTCAGAGTTTCCAAAGCCATCAAATCTGATTTTGTTTTCAGAAAATTTGCTGGGGTTTGTAACTTCCTACCACTTAAGTTCGGAGAAGTGAAGTGAAGGATACGGTGTTAAGAGAGAAGAAATTGTGTGTTGAGTAAGGAGTGAAGAGGGGGTGGGTGCTTTTAAAGGAGTGGGAGAGGAGGGGGGAAGTTGCGTGACAAGTGTCGAAGATGTAATAATAAATTATTAGGAAATAGTGGAGCACGTTTGTTGGGAGGCACGAGTCGGTCAAATACAGTAGGAGTGAGCTAAGTCTACCCGCAAGACTTGGACTACTTCTAAGTTCCAAGTCAAAACGGCAACGCGGTTGCTATAAAGTAACATCGTCCCTACCCTCTCGTCAAAGTTGCCGGCACCATCCGGATGCGATGCGACCGCCCGACTTTTCTTTAACGTTGAAGGCGTACCACCGAACACCGACTAGTCTACACGACTACACCACGTCAGATCACAGAAGTGATTGGGCGCCACGTCACTAGGGTGAATTTCGTAATTAACAGTTAATAATGATAATAGTAAAACCATTCCTTTGACATGTCAAAAAGGATTAGATGAGAAGGAAGGTAAGACTGGGAGGGCCAAAAACTATTCCTTCACGTTTTCCTGATGCTAAGGATGAAAGGAAATACAAAATTTGTCTTCGCTGTTTTGCCAAATGTGGTCCATAGATACATCGAATTTGGTTCTAAGTTAATGTAATCTAACACGTGATAGTTGATTTTATCCACCCACGTTAGCAATTATGTCGATTGTGGTTATGTTGTCTATGAGTGCTTTGTACATATAGTTTTTTCACGTAACATTTAATCTAAAAATAAATAATTAATTAATTAGTATCTGACCCTTCCGTCAGTTTGAAGTGCATTTTCTCTTTTCAATGGACAAGTTTTGAGCTCACCTATTGATAATTTGTTTAAAAAAAATATTAATTAATTTTAATTATTATTAATATTTTTTATATTTTTTTATATTAACCTTCCAATATTTAGTAAAAAAATTATTTTTGTAATTTTTTTATCTCATTTTTTTGTATAATCTGACGTATTATTAAAATGATTAATTCATATAAAATTTGTAATATTAAATGTATTCACTCATTTAATAACATGTGAAAATTATATAAAAAAGTAATATAAAAAAATTATTCCTATAGTACCATCCATCAGGTAATTATATTATATTTCGATTAATTCGAAATAAAGTCTCATCGGATCTCATAAAAAAAAAACTCTCATAATATTTATTTTTCTATTTACAATACTTGAACTTTAAATTTTGTTTAAAAATAATTAAACTTTTTTATTTAAACCAACAAATCGTTAATATTTTTTATATTTTTTAATATTAATTTTTTAATATTCAATAATTATATTAAATTTAATTAATTTAAAATTGAACCCGTTGAATCCCATAATAAAAAAATTTTCTTAATGTTTATTTTTCTATTCATAATAATACTTAAACTCAAAATTTTATTTAAAAGAAACTGAACTCTTTCCACTTAAATCAATAAATCATTGTAAATTTTTTTTATATTTTAAAACAGCTGCAACACAAGAAGACAAAAAAATAAAGTATTATTAAATAAATTTGACTATATTTTCTTTTACATTATAAGTAATATAAACGAAAAAAGTTCTTTCCTATTTCTAAACCTTTGTTTATTCAATTCAAAAATTTGAATGTGTAATTTTCAATTTATAACAAGTTATTAACTATTCAGTCATCAAAAGAGTAAAATTTTGATTACATTAATTCCTCTAAACTAATTATTTACCAAAATTTTTCTTTTGGGAACCTGGGAAGCGAAGACGGATCAGGTAACGGTGGCTGAACACCTTGAGGTGCTGTTATTGGATTTCTTTGGATGGTTGGTTGGTAATCTGGAAAGCCGCAGGAAGATACGCGAAGCATCTAGATACCGACAAACACGTCACTGGGGACAGATGCGACTTGTGCCAACTAACATAGGCGATTCATGTGCTAGAAGCTGCCATGCATTTCCCTACAGAAAATGGGCTACAAGCTACTGGTAGTGGCCATGTTGGAGGGTGCATTTTTTTTTGCCCCGGAGCAGGGTGTGAGGTCCTGATTCTGCAAATCAAATCACGATCTGGAAAGCAAAATGTCAACTAAACCGACCAGAATATTATGGTTCTTTTAAGATTCTCCAGATTTTCACGATGAGCATTAACAACAGATTTTGAAATTTAAGCGAATTCTGAGAACGTTCTATCACTCGAGCTTATGAATCAGATGCAAATTTGCTTGTCTAGTTCTTATTTGGGAATGAGTAGGGACATTCCATACTATGCCCAACAAACTATATAACTCCTAACTTAAAAAATAAGTCTATTTTGGGGGAACTAGGTCGAATGAGGTGCCTAAAATTAAATTAATAACAATTTATATATAAGCTATTTTAAAAATATATATATTATCTAAAAAAAAAAGTGAAGTGTAATTTATTTTACATAAATTGTATTTTTTTATTAATTAAAAAAATAAATCTCTTAATATTAAGGTTCATTTCTTTATATATAAATGATTTTCACATTCTTAAAAGAATAAAAAAAAGTATACTAAGACTGTTTGTAAAAATTGAAAGGGGGGATGTAATTGAATGAAATTATTTCTTACCCTGATCAATTTTCTTTCTTCACGTCTCATGAAAACCAAGTGCGAAACAACTTAAGGCCTAATAGCACATGGATTTTCTCATTCTTTAGATCATCCAAAAGAAACAGATGAATGAACCAATTCGAAATCTTTTCCTCAGTGCATATGTATAAGTAAAGCTACAGGGAAATGAAAAAAACATTTGTTTTTCTATCTCTAATTACTTAAATTTGCTTTCGCTAGAGATTCATGCATCACATCTCTAGCACCTAATTTTCTTAAAATATGGGAGTAAGAGGGTTTTAAGGCTTAAAAGATGATGGTTCTGTGCGCTTTCGGAGAAGCATCAGATGCTGCCTTTTATTCATGAAAAAGGAGTTGAGAAAAAGGGGACGCTGAGGATTGAGGAATGGGAATTGTTCAATGAATAAGGAAGCATATCCTATAAATCATCAGGATCCCTCATTACGCAAGTAATTTTGGGTAAATAGACGAATGGTATTTGTCTTTTTCTGTTTTTTTTTTTTTTATTTTTTTGAACGAGGACTAATGGTATTTGTATTTTGTTGAGCACTTACGAGTTGCGACAATGACATGGAAGGCAATTTTTTCACGCCACTTGCTGTGTTGGATCTGGCGTGTCGTCAATTGATGATTTCCTCGACTAAAATTAAACAATTAATTTACCAACGAGAGGTTGAATCAAGTGGCAAGCGGCTTGTTCTAACTTGAGTAAAATTTCAAGTTTGAAACTTTGTGTACGCAGCAGTCTTCGTTGGGAGACCCACCCATCATTCTAGTGCGTCACAGCTGATCGAATCTGGAGTAGTCGAGGCGAAACCCCGGATACCGGGCGGAAAACCAAAAAAAAAAAAAACAATTAATTTAATTGAAATAAGGGTAAAAACACATGTTAAAAATATATTTTGTTATAAATTTATATTAAAAATTATAAAAATTAATATTAACTCACTTGAGTTTTGATTTCTCATGGGAAAGCAATTTACATGCCCACAATGTCAGCGGTTAGGCAACTTGATAAAGCTGATGTTGAGTTTCAGTTTTTTAGTATTATTTCTACATACAGATGCTGGCTAAGTGAAGGGACGAGAGAGTTTACATTCAAAATGACGTGTTAAGATTGTGATCTCATTCAAGTGATTCTATAAGTAGATAATGGGAATAATACATATTATTTATAACTTTAAAATAAATTAAAA